TGACAATTCATCCCCCCAACTTCTGCAGCAACCTTTTGGCTCCCCACCTTCTAACACACAACACCCAGGGCTCCTCTCTATCATTTGAGAGGGTGTAAGAATTAGGCTAAGGGAGCTGGAGCTCAGCAGTTAAGAGTACTGGGTTCAGTTCCCAGCACCCACACGGCAGCTGACAGCCATCTATAACTCCAGTTCCAGGGGATCCAAAGCCCTCTTCTGACCTCTATGGGCACTGCATGGCATTCGTGCACTTACATCCAGGCAATGCACTCATACACATAAAACAAAAATAAATCAAAATAAAATATTTTTTTAAAAAGAGCCGGGCGTGGTGGCTCACGCCTTTAATCCCAGCACTCAAGAGACAGAGTCAGGTTCCACAGGAGGCTCGCAGAAAGCCTCACAGATGCTGCAGCTGCTGAAGTCCCCCGAAGGTCCTACAGTAGCAGAAGACGCTGAAGTAGGGAGTAGTGGATATGCATCGGTCTGCCCAGGGGCTGCAGGCAGAGACAGGGCTGATGTCTCAGCCAGACTCCCATCTTACGGGCTCCACTGCCAATGCTCAGATAAAACCACATACCTGTCACGGTGACTCTAGGCCAGAGAGGATGGAGCCAGAGGAGGAAGAGCAGAATCTCTCCCTCATTGCCGCCTATAAACCTAGACACCATGGTCATCTCACCGTATTTAGTGGCCATTCTGTAACTTTTATGGGCTCAGAGACTATCAGTCATTTTTCTTTTCCCCTGGGGTCATATCTTCAAGATGGGGCTTCAGAAAATCCTATGCTCAGGTAATTCTGAAACCTTGGCAGGCTTCTTCCTTGGGTGAGGGCCTGAGGTGCCCAGTTGTCAAGGTCTGCCAGGACGCTGCACTTTGTAAGGTGATCAAGGAGCAGAGGGAGGCCACGTTAGGGTGCTTGCTTTGGGCTATTAGCCAGACTCATGACCTCAGCTTTTCAGTTGGGGCACAGGAAGAACTGTGACCAAGAACAAAGGACAACCATCTTCATTCTCTGAAGTGTGCCTTGGCAGCTTTGAGACAAAGAATCTCTCAGAGACTCCCCAGGCAGAGCTCCAGAGGCTAAGTCCACAAGGGAAACTGGAACACTAGGCCCCTGGCATAGCCTGAGGGAGAGAACCCCTACCTAAACATGGCAGTCAGACACACAGCTAAAAACCATGGTTTTCCTCCTTGACAATCCTTAGGCTTGGTGATCTTCTGTAAGCATCTGATTTGAGGGCTTCAAATATCTGAGTCTCTAAGCACCCTAACCTGCCTACCTGCTCCATCCCTTCTTGTGACCTTTCAAGATTCATTACCTCCCACTCTGCAGCCTCTCCCTCAACTTGAACAAAAGCCCAGGGGCCCACCCTCCAAATGGACTCTGTTATCTTGGGCTACCTTTAGGATAGCTTGTCTCATACACTCTGAGACCAGCCCACCAGAGTCAGAACTGAAGGGTAGAGCTAGATACCTTCAGCATGGAAAGCATCTGTGTGCAGGACACCACAGCCCCCAGACATAGAAGAGCAGGAGAGGCCATGGAGGGCTCTGAGTGGTCACCAGGACAGACATCTGGAATGAAGAAATAAGAGCTACAATGTTTTGACTGTTTGCTGAACACCAGCCATTGAGCTAATGTACACACATGCCCCCCACTTTATCCTCACAATGTCCCTGGGAAAGTTTGTCTCAATGCCAGTTGCAAAGGAAACTGAGGCTCAGGATCTGTGTATGATTTCACTCAGATAATAATGGCAGGGCTGAGATGTACCTGATTCAGGGGACTTGACAAATATACCTTGGAGAAGGAAGACATATATATCTGAGGTGGGTGCATTAATGTTCAAGTTCTTCTAAATGAAGTATTAGAAATTTGCCTCTCTCTCTCTCTCTCTCTCTCTCTCTCTCTCTCTCTCTCTCTCTCTCTCCCCTTCTTCCTTCCCTCTCTCCCTCCATATATTTTCCCTGTGGATGTTCACTCACAGACCTCTGAGCTGAGTTCTTTCCAGGTCCTAGTGCTCAGTTCCATGTCCTAAACCCATCCTGCCCATCACTCTTATCCACCACCTGGCCTCAGTCAGCTCCCTCCCCTTCTCTACTCCCCTCCCTTTTTAATAGCCAAAGAGGACAGTCTGCCTGCCACTCAAGCAGCTCTTCTGGCCTCCTTTACCTACAAGGTCACCTCAGCCGGGATCCTGCTTACCTCTCTTATCTTTACATTTTCCCACTCCTCAAATTCTTCAGACCTGACCAAAGGGCCATCTCCTCCAAGAACCTGCCTGGCCTGCCCCAAAGCCCCAAGCTGGGAGGCTCACCCAGCCAGGAGTTCACACAACATGGGGTTCCATGTCCAGGCCCCTGCTGCTTCCTATACAGAGCCTCTGTGTGCTTATCCTGCCCTGGCTGCAGCCTCCTCCTTCACACTCAGAGCCTGGTCCCTCACCTGCATGATGATCAAGACAGGATAGCAGCTCCAGCCAGATGAGTGTTCCAGAGATAAAGGGCCAAGAATGTGCTTTCCAGGGCTGAGACTAGAGAAGCCCTTCCCCTCCCCAGCACCTGTCACTACTACCAGCCCTCTGATGGGGATGTCTGTCCTAGACGAGATCTGATATTTCTTATGCTTCAGCCTACTTCCTTCCCAAGTTCCAAGAATAATGAAGAGGCCAGCAAAGAGCGTGCTTCCCTGAGCATGGATCAGAGATTAGTATGAACATTTGGGGGGACCACTGTGGTCTACATGTCAAGCCACCCCCTTCAGATTGTGTTCTTATTCTCAACTCAGACTACAGCTCTCCCATTCTCTGGATTTCACATACACATAATTATCTGTGCAGACAAAGACTGGTTGTTAACACCCTGACTGATTGTGTTAGCACCAAAAGTCTGCTCCATCACCTACCAAAACCCAAAAAGAGCCCAAGACAGAATTATGTAAATGCCTCCATATGTCGATTTAAATCCTCATACTTTAGGATAAGTCCATTTCCTTTAGTAGGGGGAGACCCCAAAAGAAAGACTCCTCCAATACTACTATTCCCAGAAGAAAACTGGAGTGGAGGCTCATGGGCAGATCAAGTTATTAGCATTCTGGGTTCTATCCCCTGCACCAAAAGAAAGCAATTGAAATAGAAATACGCCGGGCAGATCAAGTTATTAGCATACACAGCGTTCTGGGTTCTATCCCCTGCACCAAAAGAAAGCAATTGAAATAGAAATACGCAATACTGAATCAGGCATGGTGCACATTCCTGTGGCAGGAGGGTGGAGAGTTCAAAGCCACCTGAGCTGCATAGTAAAACCCTGGCAAAAAGGAAGAAAAGAAGGAAGAAAGTAAAGAAGGGCGAGCAGGAGAGACAGAAAAGAAAAGACACTTTCACAGCCAAGAGACTCTGGAGATGGAGTCCATCTACTGCTGCAAACCATAGTTGTGCAAAACTCTTACAAAACAGACCCAGGAACCTAAGCTAATGAATGTATTGTAAAAGCAAAGGTGGCAATGGGACACTCCTTAGAAATGAGGTGCCAGGGCTGGCTGTGATGACCTTGGAATTCTCAGATTTAATTACTGCATGCACAATAATAGCTCAGCTTTAAAACAAAGGAAGCTCGAGTTGACAGCGTGCTTCTCTTTAATGCTGGCTGCTGAGCACACACTCTGATTTCCGCTGCCGGTAATGGGACACATAATTAACCTCCTTTGTGATAGCCATGGCCTTCTAGAGTCAGCAGGGTACCATCAGATGAGGGTGGACTCTGGAGCAGCCCACTCTCTTGCCTCACTCAGCCTCCCAACCACATAACGCAGGCCCTGGAGAAACATCATGAAGCACCTCTGGGCTTGCTGTCAAGTCCTGACCCCACTCCTTGGACCTGAAGTCTCTGAACAACTCTAAGCTCATCTTTTTTTTTTCTCTTTTTTCTTTTTTTTCTTTTTTTTCTTTTTTTTCTTTTTTTTTCTTTTGAGACAGGGTCTCCCTGTAGCCCCAGGCTGGCCTCGAACTGACAGAGATCCACCTGCCTCTGCCTCCTGAGTGCTGGGACTAAAGGCATGTGCCACCACACCCAGCTAAGCTCATCTTCTTATGCAGAGCCCAACAATACCACCTTCTGAAGGAGTTAGAAAAAAAGTTTTTGTTAAAAAGCTTTTGACACCAGGCATGGTGGCACACACTTAATGATCCTAGCATTTGGGAGATGGAAGCAGGAGGATTAGGAGCTCAAGACCAGTCTCAGCTAAATACTAGTGTGAGGCCAGCCTAGGCTACCTGAGACCCTCTCTCCAAAAACAATAAAAAGCCCTCCACACAGTGAGCTAGGCATGTGGTTGGCACTCCTTCAATATTAGTTGTTCCCCATCTCCAAGCTGTGTGATGTATAGGGAGTGAGAGAAGACAGGAGCAGAGGGAGGGAGAGAGAGAGAGAGAGAGAGAGAGAGAGAGAGAGAGAGAGAGAGAGAGAGAGAAAGTTTCTACGGGACACAGGAAGAATTACAAATTAATAACAGTAAAACAAATAGATAAACAAGCAAACGTTTATGGAACTCTTAGTAAGTGTAGGTCCGGCCTGGAGGCTTTTGGCTCCACTATGCCATTAGATCCTTCCAGCAGCTCTCAGATATCATTATTCCTACTCTGCAAAAGACATCTAAGGCTCAGGAAGGTTATTCACCTGCTCAAAGTCATGACATAAACGTGCCTGTGACTTCAAAGGCCTTGCACCACAACACACTTGGGCGAATGTCCCCGTACCACGCACGGACGCCCAATGCTTCAAGGACACCCAAGGTCAGAGCTTCCCAGCCTGCAGGGCAGGGGACCCGGTGGAGTCGGGTATGCCCGAGCCTGGAATAAACACAGTGACCTAGTGCGTCCCTGCAGAGGGGTGGAAGGGTCCCGCCCGGTGCCCACAAGCGCCAGGCCTGCAGAGCTGACCAGGCAGTCCGTGGCCCCATAAAGCCCGGGAGGGAGGAGAACGCTGTTTTATGGGGGCGACCAGGCAGCCCAGGCCGCTTTGATTCCCACTGGCAAGCTCGTAAATGCCGGGGCGCCGGGCCACGATATAAGGCGCAGCGCCGGCCTCGGGGTCCAATCTGGTCCTGAGTCGCCGCGGCACGATGTCCTGCTTCTCCTCCCGCATCTTCGCTCCCTGCGGGGTCCGCGCCTTCAGCTGCGCCTCGGCCTGCGGGCCCCGGCCAGGCCGCTGCTGCATCTCCGCCGCCCCCTACCGCGGCATCTCCTGCTACCGCGGCCTCTCCAGGGGCTTCGGGGGCTTCGGCAGCCGCAGCGTCAGCGGAGCCTTCCGCTCAGGCTCCTGTGGCCGCAGCTTCGGATACCGCTCCGGAGGCGTCTGCGGGCCCACTCCCCCCTGCATCACCACCGTGTCTGTCAACGAGAGCCTGCTCACGCCCCTCAACCTGGAGATCGACCCCAATGCGCAGTGCGTGAAGCATGAGGAGAAGGAGCAGATCAAGGGCCTCAACAGCAGGTTCGCCGCCTTCATCGACAAGGTGGGTGTCCTGGATCACACCCTCCTGGAGCCCTCCCTGGGCACAGCCAGGCCTGGGCACTGAGGCAGAGTCAGAGGGAGCACTTATCCCTGGAAGCTCCCAGGCCAGAGGCACAGACAGAATGAGAAGACTAGGGCTGCCAGTGTGATGGGGGAGATGAGCTGAAAGCACCTTGAGAAGTAGGGGCAGGGCCAAACACGGCCCAAGACACAGCCTCAGCTCAGGAGCTGAGAGCTGCCCTGTGGGTCTTCCCAGAATTTGAGGCCAAGTAGTTGCTCATGCGGTTAGGCAGGCCTCTTCCTAGTATCAAGGGCGTGAAGGCGGCCTGGAAGCACGTCACACAGAGCTTTTTTAATCCTATGTGGCAACTTGGCTGTTGAATAGAGGGGCAGTGTAATCTCTGCAAGCCACTGCACTAGGGCTCAACATGCAGGCCTGAGCAATGGCCACAGGCCCCATCCTCAAAGTCTTATGACAAGGTAGTCCTTACATGGTCTGGGCTCCATGGACACCTTCTGTAGCACGAGGGTGAGCTGGAGCCTGCTGCCTTCTTCATAGAATCCAGGCAGCCACATATGGCTAAGGCTTGAGCACTGGGAGAAAAGGCTCCCAGTAGAAAGCACCTCTGGGCCAGGAAGAGCTGTCTCAAGAGCCAGCCTCCATGCACACTAGCAAGCTGTTCACCAGGATGCATCAAAAACTCCACAGCTCCAGAAAACATGAGACACTAAGTTATCATGAGAAAGAACTTCCAAGGGATACGGCAAGGTTATCAGACAAAGGCATGTGAGTCTGGGAATGGGCTAACCTAGCGGTGAGGAGATGGAGGTGAGATGTGGCTTGGAGTCCAAGAGTCTATAATTATGGGAGTGAGATGAGGTCCCTGCAGACCAAGGCTCTCCCCCTGAAGTTAGCCGCCTTCCCTGCCTCCAGTCCCACCCTTCAGGGGAACACAGGGCGTTTCTGCACTCCTACACCAGATGCCTATTATTCTAATTGTGATGTTGTTGCAGGGTTCCAGTAACTGGCACATACTTCACTTTTCCGTGTTCATAGTCTGCTTTTCTAAACAGGCCTACCTGTTTATATGCATGATGACTATCCTGGCTGCCTTGCTGTGTTAGCTGCTCAGGATGTCATGTCTTTGTGCACTGTACTGAAAGATGCTTTAACCTCCCTGCCCTGCAGGTCAGGTCAACATAGATAAGACTCACAGCTGAGTCTGGGCTTAACATGGCACTTTCCATTCATACCAAGAAAATTAACTGAAGCTAGCTCACAGGAAGGGCTTCCAGGTGGTGAAATGATTTGACCCCAGTGTGGTTTTTGAGATGACATTCCTACTCTGGAGGACTGAGTTGTTCAGGTGCTAGTGCTGGGTGCCCTTCCCTTGCCCTCTGTTCCTGCAAGAGCGGATTCTCAGACTGTACTTCTGGGTGGCAGGTGCGCTTCCTGGAGCAGCAGAACAAGCTGCTGGAGACCAAGTGGCAGTTCTACCAGAACCGCAAGTGCTGTGAGAGCAACCTGGAGCCGCTGTTCGAGGGCTACATCGAGACACTGAGGCGGGAGGCCGAGTGTGTGGAGGCTGACAGTGGGAGGCTGGCCGCTGAGCTCAACCACGTGCAGGAGGCCATGGAGGGCTACAAGAAGAGGTGAGTGTAGTGGGGAAGAAGGTTTGCAGAAATAAAATGGAATTGAGTCGATGTAGGATGAATTAGGATTTGACTTTAAGAGGAAATCTTCCTACAGTATAAGGCTCTGCAGGGGGTAGTTCTTTGTCTGGGCTGGAAGTTTAAAGATTGCAGAAATTTGGGGCTGGAGAGATGGCTCAGGGGATAAGAACACTGACTATTCTTGCAGAAGACCCGGGTTCGAATCCCAGCACCCACAGGGCAGCTAACAACTGTCTGTAGCTCCAGTTTCAGGGGATCCAACAGTCTCTTCTGTCCTCCGCAGGCATTGCACGACGTGGGTGCACTTACCTACATGCAAGCAATACACGTAAATACATAAACTTTTTAAAAACGTAATCGGAGCCAGGTGTGGTGGCACGTACCTTTAAATATCAGCTCTTGGGAGGCAGAGGCAGGCAGATCTTTGCCAGTTCAAGGCCAGCCTGGTCTACGCAGTGAGTTCCAGGCCAGCTGGGGCTGCAGGGAGACCCTGTCTCAAAAAAAAGTAATTGGGCCAGATTAAAAGGATTCACTGTGCCAGTACCAGAGACAGAGAGGCAGACGTGTGTGACGGAGAATCCAGGTTCCGCCCACACTGTTTTCTGATGTTCAGATAATAGGTGAAAGAAGTGTATTCTAAGCCAGTTTAAGATCTTTCGGGAATATTTGCTTTACTTTTATAAAAGTTGTTTGGTTTGGTTTAGTATGAGGCAGTCTCTGCTCTGGCCCAGGTTAGGCTTAGACACAAGATCCTCCTGCCTCAGCCTCCCAAGTCCTGGGATTACAGGTGTGCGCCACCATGCCTAACTTTGACAAAGGTTTTGAACAGAACTATTTTATAGCCCACCAATGTGATAAACCTAATTTGTCAGCTAATGAAGAAATAGTCTAACAACTAAATGATATGAGTGATCTTTAGGGCCCCTGGTTCTTTCCTTCTCAAAAAAATGTCCTTGTTTGCACGACGAGCTTTTGTTGAGGCGGCACGTGGTCCAGCTGGGCCACTTTCTGCTCTGCCTCCAGGAGGCTACTTGGTCCTTCTGCCTTCCCTCAACTGTGTAACTCTTCATGCTGCTTATCTCATGGGGTGTCTGCTGCCTCCATC